AAAGACAAAAATATAATATTTATTTATAAAGATTCACATATAAAAATGGAATGCATATCATTTACTTCCTAAAAATCACATCACTTATTAGGAAATAAATCAATTAATAATCTAATTGATTAGTATAATTCCTAACTTATCCACATGATTAAAGAAATTAAATTTAATTATTTTTAAAAGTATAATATACAAACATAAAAGTTAATAATAAAGTAATATATTATTTATAGTAATTAATTTATGTTAAAAAAATTTATAAAAATAATGAAGAGGCAGCATTAAAGTGGCGAAGAGGCAACGCTATTGCTGGCATTAATTAATTTATCATTTCTATCGCTGTAATATGCTACGTTGTGAAATTTATAAGCAAATCTTATATGCCCACAGGTTTTGCAAGGACAAATTTATATGCCCACATGTTTTTGCAAAGAAATTATTATTATTATTATTATTATTATTATTATTATTATTATTATTATTATTATTATTATTATTATTGAAATAGATTGAGACCTATTTTTTATTATTATAATTCAAACTATCCGTAGCAGGGAAGTCTCCGCATATCGGTTTACCATCCAAATTGGACGGGTTCCTTCCCACGACGGAGGAACTCGTGGTCGACGACTCACCAACTGGATCGCCCTCCTTCCCTGGCCACGCTTTCGGTCTACGGCACCGAGCCGTTGAATCTTATTGGCAACGATCGGCAGGAGGGATTCTTTGTCGAGAGCAAGTTCGAGAACAGCGATGGCTCGCGGAAGGTTCTATCAAAACGGTTAGTCCACGTTCGAAAAGCAAGAACTTGGGTTGAGTCCGTCCCGGCAACCCATCGCGGCCCAAGAAGAACCGAGCGAGCCTCTTAGGTTTTAAAAACCCTAAGGTTACGAATGGGTTCTTCCACTCTGTAAAAAGAAGTCGGCGAGAAAACCGTCGGCTGCCCGCGAGATCGTGGGTGGGGGCGAAAGAGCTAACTTTCTTTTAACGATGGCCGGCGAAAGAGGGTGGACGATGGACGAGATGAGATGTGTTCTTCCAGTTTCGAGAGACGAGTTCTATGAAGATTTTGCATCAGGCCATCTCCGACGGCACCACCATCAAAACAGTTGACTCCACCTTATAAACCACCATCAAAACAAATGTCAAATAAGCCGGAAGAACACATCTCGTATTCGTACATTATCCACCCGGAGTTCCTCTGCCGGTAGTCGTTGAAGGAAAGGCTGCTCTTTCACCTCACCACCATCTCGCGCCTTTGTTGACTAGTTCTTGTTTTTTGTCCAGAGTCTAAGAACCGGTGCTGGCCTTTCGATCCACGCGCGACAGGGAAGGGTGTGCCGATGACCTAGTTGTCGAGGTAGTCGACCACAGTTCCTCTTGTAGCCTCTTGGAACGAGGTCGACGGACTCCATGAGCGACGGTTGTTTCTTGAAGAGGATAAGAGAGGAAATGAACGAAGAGGAGGAGAAGGGAGCAGAGAGGCTAGGGGCGAGAAGACAAAGTGCCTTCATCGTCTTTGAATCCCATCGCCCCGTTCGGTCTTGCTCGACTCGGAAACAAAGGTGAGCATTTTTGGTTCGAAAGGTCTCTTCTGACAGCGAAATGCATGAATTTTACAGCTGATTTGGAGCTTTCCTTGTTGGATTTTACGTTCGAGGATCTTGAAGATGGAGATATCTGCGCTGGTGTTGGCTTGTGGCTTGAGGGTGGGAGCTGATGAAAGGTACAAGATTTGGTGTTGTATTGGCAATCCGTTGGCATTGCATTATGCTTCCGAGGCTAAGTGCTTCACAGTGCCGTCTTCAGCAGAGGGCTGGAGCTGATGGAACCAATAATAGGTCCCTGTATGTCATCAAGGTCGGACCTGTCCACAATGCCAAGTGCTTTCTTTTCGATTCTTACCACACCATCGCTTTGGTAAGTCGAGTTTACTAAGAGTTTAGTTTAATGAGACAGTTAGTTAAATAATGTCTAAATGATTCTACTATAGTTGATCTATCAGTTAGTTAATGAGACAGTTAATTAGTCAAGATAAATGGTGCTAAAAATTGTTAAATAATGTTAATTTCAGTTTTGAAAATCCTAATGGTTCTAAACGATCAAATATGAGTCACAAACGTGTTTATCAAATAGCAGTCTGGATTGATGCATAATGATATTTGAGAAAGTTTCTTTGACATCCATGCAACTTCTTATTAATGTTCTTCGTTGGGACTCTCACTACCAACCACAATGAATCATACTTATGTAGATGTTTCTCTAAAATAAAGATCCGGAAGTACACTGTCAAGCTTGGGTAACTTCTTAGCATATACTTCAAGATTGAGTTGTGATATTAGCAGATAAATAGGATGGATGCAACACTCATCAATATGAAAGCAGCAGCAAGGCTGCAAAATAAAAGAGGCAAAATCATCACAAAAACCATAGTAAGCGAACTCCATTTCACAAAAGACATAAATGCAACCAATTTATTTTGCGATCTCATTTTTTTTATGCAGATTTACTGATTAAACTTATTTTCTTTCAATTTAATTTGCCCTGTTTGAGAACCCATTCTGG